TCTGTGACAGATTTGTTTTCATTCATTTTATGCACTCACCTCTCCCCTGATTAGAGAAATAAAAAAGGATGTACTTGTTAGATTTCATCTTAGCCACGAGCATTGGTATTTCTTATATGAGAAGAGGGTTCTTTTAAACACATGCTGGTGAAATGGTCTATCAGGGGTACCTGCTCCAATGTTACCTGCACCTTAGTCATTACTAGGGCTGTCCTAGTCATCCTTCAATTGCTGTGACAAAATACTCTGACCTATACCAACTTGGGGAGGAAAGGGTTTATTCACCTTACATCTCCAGAGTCACAGTTCATCAGGGAATCTAAGGTAGGAACTCAGGGCAGGAACTTGGAGGCAGGAGCTGGAGCACAGGCCATGGAGGAACGCTGCTTGCTGACGTACTCTCCTGGCCTGTACTCAGCCTGCTTTCTTATACAATACAGAACCACCTGCCCAGGGGTGGCACCACCCACAGTGGGCTGGGCCCTCCCACATCACTCAACAATCAAGAAGATGCTTCACAGACATGGCCACAGGCCAGTCCAATTCAGGAAATTCCTCAGTTGAGGCTCCCTCAACCCAAGTGTGTCAAGTTGACAACTAACCGTTATCCACACAAGCAGTAAGATAAAAGCTCAAGTCACATTTAACTAAGAGACTCCCATGAGTAATGTGATTTGGGTTTCAAATCCCTCAAACTGTCCTTCTTAGGTGGGGTTCAAATAGCTCAAAACATTTTCTTTTCTTTTTGTTTTGGATACCGCTCATATAGCCCAGGGTGCCCTTAAATTCACTAAGTGGCTGAAGCTGACTTTGAACTCCTGATCTTCTTGCTCCTACTTCCTAGGGCTGCAATTACAGCATGCATGTACTACCATGTTCAGCCTGTTTGTTTGTTTGTTTTTTGTCTTTTTTGAGACAAGGTCTCCTGTAGCCCAGCTGGCCTAGAACTCACCACATAGACCAGGCTGGCCTTGGAAGTCACAGAGATCCGCCTGCCTCTGCCTCCTGAGTGCTGGGACCAAAGCGTGCGCCACCGCGCCTGGTCACGCTCAGCTTTATTTTTAACTTTGTGTTGTTGATGTTGTTTTGGTACAAGGTCTTGGGAGATGGCCCTGGCTGGCCCAGAACTCACTGTGGAGAGCGGGCTGCCCTTCAACTTAGAACCATCTTCCTGCCTCTGCTTCCCAAGTACTCTAGATTGTAGGAGTGAGTCAGCAACCCTGACCTCTTTAGATTTTGATCTGAAGGGATTTGTCCAGCTCCATCTTCATTTTAACTCAGTGAGATGGAAGACACAATGATTACTAACAGTTAAGTAGCAGCTAAGTGACCACCAGTGTGCTCAGAGATTTATATGAATTATCTCAATCTTTTAAAAAATTTATTAAGTTTTATTTTGAGCGAATGAGTGTACTGCCTGCATGTATGTAAATGTACCCGTATCATCATCAGAAGGCATCAGATCCCCTGGAACTGGAGTTACGGACAGTTGTTAGCCACCACATGGGTGCTGGGACTCAAACCCGGGTCCTCTGCAAAGAACTGCCAGTGCTCCTAACTGCTGAACCATCTTTCCAGCCCCTGAATTATCTCACTCCTAAAATAACTCCAGGAGACCAGTCTGAGCCAGTCATTCTCTGGAAGCATTTAGCAGGTCCTCTTTCCCTGTAGTCAAAGGCATTTGTGTACTTTAATGAATTAATTTTGCAGTCTTACAAATACTTTTGGGTCTGTATGCTTGGAGTAGCCTTAAGCATTAGAGAAACAGCATGAAAATGGCATCCCTTTCCTGTAGCTCATGCTGTCCTGGGGGTGGGCGATGTGGGCAACCAATCAACATGCAAATAAATTCATGTCCACTGGCTCTAACTGTAATGAGGGTGAGAAGAGGAAGATTAAACCTCCTCTAGACGCCACGTTACACCTGACAGAAAGTGGCCCAGACGTGGTAGATTAACTGGCTTGTGCAACCCACCGCTCAGACGCGGAGAATTTGACTCAGTGTGACAGGTGTTGCAGCCGGACTGTAACAGACACTAAACACTGCAAGCTCTGCTTTCCAGGCTCTTCCTGACTCTGCCTTCCCATCCCACATTCTGACGTCAGCGTCTCCTAGGACCTCACATCTCCTTTCCTTCTCTTTCTACTGGGTTTGAGTTTTCCATTCTTTGTTTTACCGTTTTTGTTGTTGTTGTTTGTTTGTTTTTAATTAGGGGATGGAGAGATGGCTCAGCAGTTAAGAGCACTGACTGTTCTTGCAGAGGACCCAAGTTTGATTCCCAACACCCACATAGTGGCTAACAACCATCTGTAGCTCCAGTTCCGGAGATCTGACACCCTCTTCTGTCCTCTTAGGGCATTGCAAACATATGGTGCACTTACCTACATGCAGGCAAAACACTCATACCCTTTAAATAAAAATAACCCAATTAAAAATTTTACAATTACATTTATTTATATATTCATGTGTGGGCCTGTCCATGTGCCACAGTGCATGTGTGGATGTCAGAGGCAATTTTCTCCTCTGACCATGTGCATCCCAGGGGTCAAATTCAGGTCACTGGGTTTGGTGGCAGGGCATCTTTACCCATTCAGCCATCTTGCTGCCCAATTCATTATTTAAAGAGGACAGTTGTGAGTCTTTCTAAGAGCAGTAGGTGCTCTTAACCACTGCACCATCTTGCCAACCCCACTATTCTTTTTAATTTTTAAAATTAAAAAATTATTTTAAAATACTTCTTATATTTTATTTTTATTTTATGTGTGTGAGTGCACCCATGTCCTGCAATGCCTGAGGTCAAAGAGGGTGTCAGAATCCCCTGGAACTGGAGTTATAGAAGGTTGTTAGCCACTGTGTGGTGCTGGGAATCAAACCTGAGTCCTCGGAAAGAGCAGCCAGTGCTCCTAACTGCTGAGCCACCTCTCTAGCCTAACTCCAGTTCCAGGGTTTCTGATGCCCTCTTCTGACTTCTGAGGTCATTGCACGACCTGGTACACTTACATGAAGGCAAACAATACACTTGTGCATATAAAATGAGAATAATAAATAAAATTTAAAAAAGAAAAGAAGAAACAAGTTGATTTCTACTATTTACTTTTATAGCCAGAGTTTGTGAGGTGGGAGTGGGTGTTGGGGTTGAAGTTAGAAGTATAAGTTTAGAAAGATCTCAAAAGGCCTGGTGCAGTGGTACAGGCTTTTAATTTTAGTGCTTGGGAGTCAGAGGCAGGTGGATCTCTGTGAGTTCAAGGCCAGCCTGGTCTACATAGTGAGTTCCAGGCCAACTAGAGCTACAGGGAGACCCTGTCTCAAAAAGACCCCCCCCACCCCACCAAAAAGATCCTATTAAGGTTGTTCTGAGAGGGTGTCTTACATAGCACAGACTGGCTTCAGACTGGCCTCAAAGACACTATGTAGCCAAAGCTGGCTTTGAACTCACAAAGTAGCCAAGGCTGTCATCAACAATGTGGCGATCCTCTTGCTCAGCTTCCTGAGTTCTAGGATTTTAAGTGTGAACTCCTCTCTCTCTTTCGTTTCTTATTTTTTGAGACAAGGTCTTCCTGTAGCCCCAGCTGGAACTCACTATGTAGACCAGGCTGGCCTTGATCTCACAAGAATTCGCTTGCCTGTGTCTCGAGAGTGCTGGGATTAAAGGTGTGTGCCACCACACCCAGCTATAACTCTCATACTTTGAACATTGTACTTTGAAAATTGGTCCATCATTACTGGCATTTTTCTGCTTTAACTCTTTTTCCCTATTAATTGAAAAAAGGCCATACCTACTTTTTTTTAGACATTCCAACAATCAGATTTCATAGTTTGCAGATTCTTGGATGAATTAATTCAAGGTGTTTTTTTGTTTGTTTGTTTGGTTTTTTGTAGAAGCTCTCACTATGTAGCCCCAACTGGCCTGGAACTTGAAGAGATCCGCCTGCTTCTATTTCCAAAGTACTGGGATTAAAGGAGTACACCACCATGCCTGACTAATTCCAGGTTTTTCTTCTTCTTTTGTTTTGTTTTTAAGATAGGGTCTTGGCTTTGAACTCTGTTGAGCCTAGTGGAGGCTCTGTCATAATGCTTTATTTCATTTATGTTAGGAGGCATTGAACCCAAGGCCTTGTGAATGCCAGGTAAATATTCTGCAAACTGAGTTTCATCCCCAGCCCAGGAGTCAGTCATCATTTTTAAGAAAAGGACCTGCTTTGTGCTGGGTTAATGCTCTATATAAACAGGCATCTCATATGAATGTCCCACAGGAAGTGATATGGGGATTTTATTGGGCTTTACATCTATAGTGATCAATTGTAGTCTAAATTGTTCTTTGAAAAACGAATTGATTTTCTATTTTTAATCTTATGTGTATGAGTGTAATGCCTACATGCAAGTGTACCCATGTTGTGCAGTTCCTACGGGGGCCAGAAGAAAGTGTGAGCTCCCTGAAGTTATGGCCAGTTGTTAGCCACCTGTGGGTGCTGGGAACTGAACTCAAGTCTTCTGAAAAGTAGTCAGTGTTCTTAACTGCTGAGCCATCTCTCCAACCCTGGAGTTCTTAAAGGGAGGTCTGTCCTTTATAGAAATTAGAGTGCAGCACAGGGGTAGCACAGGGGTAGATGGAATTCTTAACGCCCCAGGTTCCATTAAAAACAAACAAACAAACAAAAAACCCAAAGCAGATCAAAGTGATTTTTTTTTTCTTTTTAGGACCAGGTAATTTTCAGATGACATCTATTTCCACTTGAAAAAACATGAAGACATTTTGGGCTCCAGCATTTCAAACATCAAAAAGATGTAGTAACACCACTTAAAATATGCACATAATAGAGCCAGGTGTGGTGGTGCACACCTTTAGTTCCAGCACTTGGGAGTCAAAGGCGGGAGGAACTCTGTAAGACCCAGGCCTGCCTGATTTACATAGAGGTCCAGGTCAGCTGGAGCTACTGGGAGACCCAGTCTCAACAATGAAACAAACAAGGGAACAGCTCCTTGTAAGTGTGTAGACATTGAAAGGAAAAGAAAGCATATAAAGAACAGAACACGGCAGACGTCAACTGTTCTCAGATTTCCCTCATTGGGAAGTCTATTCCTACAATAATGCATGAACCATTGTTCATCAGTGAGGGTGTGCAGAGGAAGATTTCTAAGCTATTCCTCCCTCCGCCAGCATCACCTTCCAGGTCACTCTCCACTTTCCACCCAGCAGTTTACTCCAAGCTCAACCTGATCCACGTCGTGATAGAGAAACTGAACTATTACCTTTTCTCTTAGGCGGGCCGCTTCCCAGCCTCCCTCTATTCCCTAGATTTACTTTCGCTCCAATCCTCCTTCCCACGCAGTCACACCTGTCAACCCTGGGTTTCCCCCACTTCCCACTCCAGCCTCCAGAGGGCTGGGATTACAGGAATGCGCTCCCGGGCCCAGCTCCCAGCAGAAAGTACCCCTGGATGCTCTGCAGACAAGGAACGGAGTGTCTTAGATACAGTAACAGAGAATCTGAAAGTCCCAGAGCCTTTAGACGTTAAGACCCACCTCCCCCACAGTGACCAACTCCATCACCCTGAAACCCGCTCACAAGCAAAGAACGACCCCCTTTCCCCGGGAAAACCCACATTTCGGCGGAAACTCAGTTGTCTTCGACCCCTTTTCAGTAGGTTAAGAAAAGGTTTTCAAATGAAATACGAGAAGAGAGCTTCAGGCAAAACTTGTCTGCTCATTCTCATTTGTGCTCAGGGCGAGCAACCTCGGCGCTTTAGCCCAATTCAGGTTCTAGAAAAGAAACTTCGACACTTAAGACCCGAAACCGGGAGCTGCAAGCTTAAAACGTTTTTAGTTGATTTTAGCACCCATGATAATGTGACAGTTAATTATCCAAAACATCCACCTGGCACAGTGCCAGTTTCCGGCAGCCACAGCCATTTTCTGGAGCATACACTAATTTCCAGGGACGCCTGAGTTTGCATTTAACTCAAAAAGTATGCGGAGGCCGGCAGTGAGGGGTGGGGGAGCACGCTTATAACGCTGACACCCGGGAAAGAGCAAAAAAAGTACTGATAATAGAGCTTTGTTTCAAACTCCACGAACACTTAAATTACAACTCATTTATTGACACCATGCATGGCTCACTTGGAGCTGGTGTACTTGGTGACGGCCTTGGTGCCCTCGGACACGGCGTGCTTGGCCAGCTCCCCAGGCAGCAGCAGGCGCACGGCCGTCTGGATCTCCCGGGACGTGATGGTCGAGCGCTTGTTGTAGTGCGCCAGGCGCGACGCCTCGCCCGCGATGCGCTCGAAGATGTCGTTGACGAACGAGTTCATGATGCCCATGGCCTTGGACGAGATGCCCGTGTCGGGGTGCACCTGCTTCAGCACCTTGTACACGTACACCGAGTAGCTCTCCTTGCGGCTGCGCTTGCGCTTCTTGCCGTCCTTCTTCTGCGCCTTGGTCACCGCCTTCTTGGAGCCCTTCTTCGGGGCGGGCGCCTTCCTGGACTCGGGCATGGTGGAACAAAACTGAAACTAACCCAAAACAGGTCCACTAAGGCAGCAGGAGGAAACGATCCCGCTTCAGGACCTTACTCCACATTCATTTATAGACGCGATATTCAAATGAGGTCAACAGGATTTCTTTCACGATTGGATTACTTTCAGTGTGTCGTCACAAATGGGAACGTAAACGACTTATATTAGATCTTTTCATTGGTTGTTCTGTTGCTGCACTTTTACCCAATGAAGAAGCACGAACTAGGCTACTCAGAGCTGCTATAAATAGCTTATCCAAACAGTACACGGAACACGCAAAGTTCTGCATTGTTGCGTGTGCAGCTCCACCGTGCCACCTCACACTATCCCGCCCAATACAGCTGTTAGTCGGAAGCGTCTGCAATGCAACCTTACCATGAGCTACGTACACAGCCTAACCTGCTTTTCAAGACTGGCAGAGCTAGAGGTTAGACCCAAAGCTTCCCAGAGCCTTTCCCCCCCGTCCGGCTCCCAGGGAGATCCCGCCCCTTCCCGAGTCGTCTGCACGGAGCCACGCCCCCAAGTGTAACAGCCCTTTCCCTGACATCTGTGGGTGGCTCTGAAAAGAGCCTTTGGGTTGTAGGGCTTCTCAGGAGTTGGCCGGAGGAATCTACTTTTTCTTGGCCGCCGCCTTCTTTGGCTTGGCTGCCTTGGGTTTGGCAGCTTTGGGCTTAGACGCCTTGGGCTTCACCGCCTTGGGCTTGGCGGGGCTCTTGGGCGCCTTCTTGGGCTTGGCTGCCTTCGCCTTCTTGGGGCTCTTGGCCTTCTTGGCTCCTGCGGCGGCCGCGGGCTTCTTGGCCTTCTTCGGGGTCTTCTTGGCGGCCTTCTTGGGCGTGGCGGCCCCGGTCGCCTTCTTGGGCTTCTTGGCCGCGCCGGCGGGCTTCTTGGCCTTGGCCGCGCCCGCCTTCTTGGCCTTGGGCTTGGCCTCGCCGGACGCCGCCTTCTTATTGAGCTTGAAGGAGCCAGAGGCGCCGGTGCCCTTGGTCTGCACCAGGGTGCCCTTGCTCACCAGGCTCTTGAGCCCCAGCTTGATGCGGCTGTTGTTCTTCTCCACGTCGTAGCCCGCGGCCGCCAGCGCCTTCTTGAGCGCGGCCAGGGACACGCCGCTGCGCTCCTTGGAGGCGGCCACGGCCTTAGTGATGAGCTCGGACACCGGGGGCCCGGACGCCTTGCGCTTCGCCCCTGCGGACTTCCGAGCCTTCTTCTTCACCGGCGCCTTCTCGGCGGGGGCCGGGGCAGCTGGCGCGGCGGGGGCGGTCTCGGACATTTCCAAGTGGCGTGGGGAAGAGCAACTCGAGCCGGAAGCAGAGGCACTGGCCGGGACTCGGGCCGCTGCGCTGCGCCCGCCCGTTTATATAGGGCGGAGCTGCGCCGTGATTGGTGCGCTGTCCAGCCCGCCTCGCTGGCAGCCGTGGAGTGTCCTCTCCGATCCCGAGTTGTGTTTGTTATACCTCAAAAAAAGCCAAAAATGTCAAAATTCCCTGCATCGAATTGCCGGATTTTTCTCAGATAATAATCCCCGAAGCCTCAGGCTTCGTGCACATCACAAATAATGAAGAAAGCACCAAGCCTTCTGCCAAAAACTTGCACTATTTCCCGCCGTGCCCGGCAAATTTCAACTCAGAGAAACAAAACTTTCTATTTTCTTCGTAAATTATAAACTGATCTTCAACTGTGGACTTTTCTAACCTGTCAGAGATGATTCTCCAAGTGGTTAGCTTCTTATGTGGCCCAAAACCATGCCACTAGCATTAAGATTTTTATTACAAATCTGCACTTAAGTGAGGGAAGTAACACAGGCTTCTCGGAGAGTCCTGCCTATTGAGCTGAGGGCATTTGAGTTCATCAAACTGGTTTAGTTCAATGTTCATCAAATTGTTTACCATTTTGGGCTAAATTCTGGTCCCCTAAACCACGAGTCCGTGTTTCGGCGGTTTTATTTTGCCCACTGTACCTGAGTTTTAAAATAATTCCTTAGGATAATTCTTTTCCTTTCTGCTCCCAAGGGTTGGGGGCGGGGCTGTTGCTTCTCTACTGCTCTGGACAAGTCCTCCACTGGGTTGAGGTGTCTTGAATTCAAGATATTTGGGGAAAGAGGGATTCCAAAATATAACTAGGGTGCAGAAATGAAAAACAATTAATTTCCAAGTAGCACAAAAATGATGTTCATGAAGTCGCTAGAACTGAATGTATACTTTAGTTTGAAGAATTTCTCTGCAGCCTTGCATAAAAGTAAAAGTAGAGTAAAAGTAGGTAAAACTGAAATTGAAGCACTCTTCAAGAGAAAAATTAATGAGGAATTGCTTCTTCGGTTGTTAGAGGTAACCCAGACCCTGGTATTACTGAACAATTTCATCTGCCCTCCAAACAAGGTTCAGTCCTCAAAAAGAGTGTGATCTCTTTCTCAGAGCTCCTGGAATGCAAGTGACTTGTAGGGATTGAATTAGAGGTCAAACTTTGATCCTAGAAACAGAGCTTTGAGCAAGCGAATTCATGACTGAAGAATGCTTTGCAAGATGTTCAAAGAGTGGGTTTGTTTATATAGTTGTTCAACCCAGGAATCATGTAAGTGGGCAGTGAAAACCCAATGAAAATAATTATTTGTAGGTTGGGGGTGGTGGTGCATGCCTTTAGTCCCAGTACTGGGAGGCAGAGGCAGGTGGATCTCTGTGAGTTCAAGGCCAACCTGGTCTACAAGGTGAGTTCCAGGCCAGCTGGGGCTACAGGGAGACCCTGTCTCCAAAAGACCA